TAATGTGGCGTCATTGTGTACAAATAATTACGCACACTGGATCGAAGTGAGACAGATAAGTGACCAACCTTTTTTTGTAATTTAGATGTTATATATGTATATTTTCATAATTATGTTTCAAGATCGATTTTACATTTCTTTTTTCCCCTAGAAACTGGGCCACTAACGCTTATGAATGCTGGAAAGGGAAGGAATTTATAAAGAAAATTGAAAATCTTATTCCACGTGGAGGAGGAGATTGTCCAGAGTTGGCCTTCCAAGTAATGAACGATGCTCTCAGTAGCGGTTTTGCCAAGGAAAAATCACCGCTTTACGTCTTTACTGATGCAACAGCTAAAGACTGGAACAAATATGACATGGTGGCAACCGCAGCTATGGCGCTAAGATCAAGTGTTTATTTCTTTACCACTGGACTTTGTGGTATGAGCAAGTACAGCCCATATGACAAACTTGCTCAAGCGGTCAAGTGTTCGAACTCCCTAAGCATGGCTCTGACCTCGGAAAGATGAAGAAAGTCACCAAGAATCTACTCGGTGGAGCTGCCCCTGTACACTGCGACACTTCAAGTAGTACGTTCTCCATAGGGAAGAAAAGAAGCATCAGCTCTTTCACAATCTACAAAATACCTCTTGATGACTCTATGAACAAAGTGATTGTCTCTGTTACAACCCAAAACAGAGGACCAATGATCTTCCTGAAAGATCCTGTTGGTGTTCGCGTCAACAAAGGAAGAACTGACCTGACCAGAGGCGTGATATTTGTGGTAGATCACCCTAAACCAGGGGTCTGGAAGTTGTTTGTATCACCTGGAGCAGGCAAGCACTCTTACGTGGTAAAAGGATCCGGTACGGCAAACTTGGACTTTGACTTCATCTTTGTCTATCCCCGGGGTAAAATGCCCCCTCTCCCAGTCCCCCATCCCCTCATTGGTAAGTGTGTCGCATACCAATTTTCTCTTCTTTTCTATGCTTTTTTGACACTTCTTTATTTCTGAAAATGATTCTTTAGGTCATTCTTGGGTTGATAGGGCACATGAAGGTATATCGTGTTAATATTAATTAACATCTTTCATTTGCTTGGCTTGGAAATAGTGTGTACCGATGGTATACGGGTTTCAATAAGGTTATTTTCCTCTAACTGAAAAGCTCATCGTTGTCAAATCATGGTTGTTGGTAATTGAAATAAAAACAAACAAACAAACAAAGGATTAAATTTGCTCTAGATAGCAACTCCGCAGATGTAATTACAAAAGCGGTCGGCAGAGCATAGATTTACCAGACACATCTAAATGGTAAATAGTGATAAACTAGTGATAGACTATTTTTTTTCCGATTCACACTCACAGGTCACTCCGCCCACGTCATCTTGATTGTAAGGGCAGCAAATAAGATCCGTGGAACGTCATTAAAACTTGGAATCCTGAGCAGAAGAGATAACAAAGTTTTGAATGTAAGTTCAGTCCATTCAGTGGGGAAAAGTGGTGCCCATTTCTCAGCGTCTTTCTCGACTCCCACCGTCCCATTTAAATTGAAACTGCAAGGCAAGACCAAAAAGAACTTCAACTTTGAGCGCGACTCCCCAAACATCGTTCAGCCAGGTCACGCCCTGCTTAGGGTTCTCTTTGCCAGACGTGAATTCACTGTACCCATCGGCGGAAAAGGATTGGTGATATTCTTTGTTTACAACACAGCTACAACCGAGTTTTTTAAGTTCCAAGTCAAAACCTCGACAGTTTTCGATTCCTCGGTTTCACGGCCCCGAGTCCGTGTCTACCAAAACCGGACTGGCCTCTTCCACGTCTGGTTTACTGCAAAGTCCGGTGTCATATCTGGAACCGGTGATGACGTGGTGGTGACCGCCACTGGGATGACGTCTAAAGACACTGTCAGCTCCATTGTTAGCCTGATGGTGTATTAGCTGCATCGGGTGCATCATGAGTCCTGCCTCAGAAGGAAACACATCGGATATGGACAAACGATTATGAACTTTTATTTGCTATGCTGGTTTTAAGGGGTTAAAGAGTCATTTTAGTAGTATTCAGCTCTCTTTCCAAAGGTATTTGATGTAGAAAGAAAAAAAGGGTAACTAGAACTTTTGGTAGGGTTAATGAAATTAGTTAATTAATTTTTCTAGCTAGGTGGAATTTTTTTAATTTTCATGTTGATCAGCTAAGGTGGAAACAATTGTAAGGGTGATTTTCATATTGATCACAATACTTCCAGATATTTTTTTACTTTTTCGGTGCCAGAAAAATCACTGAACAGCTTTGCTTTTAGAGCTATGACTTACGAGTGCCAGGTTATTGTGGAGTTCCGACATAATTTCAGTGGAAAGAGGAGAGGCTGAAGATTTTCTTCTTTTATATGTGGGTGCTATTTGCTTGGGAATAAAAACATTCAAAACCAACTTTCTTCATTTTTGGTAGTGAGCGTTACCAAGCGAGAATTGATGTTGATGCGGGTAGATTCCACTCGCCGGATCTCTCCATCCTTCTGTTTTTTTCTCCTTCCTTCACTCGATTACCCCAGTATCCAAAACAATTTTGTACAGTCTCTTGATCGAGGACTGCCGTCATTCACTGTGACACAACATCAACCATCAGTGCCTAACCTAATTTAAATGCTCATGAAAAACTGTCAGAGCGACAACCATTGGTGAGCGAAATCTAAAAGATGCACCCCTCTTTTCTAACAAAAAGAGGAGGGAATCCCTCAAAAACTTTACTCGATTGGCTTCTCCTCCCCAGCTCGATATAAACTAGTTATGCCCTTTAGGACAGTCATCCTTCACATGCTGAATGATATGAAGAAACTAAAGATCTTAAAAGTAGTCCGGCTGTCTGTCCGCGCGAAAGAAAACATTTCCAGTCGCAGAATATGACTCTTAGGGGACCTAAGCCAAAACTTTTTTTGTTTTCGGTTATATCGGGATAAAAATTTTAACTATCGTAATCGCATTGGCCACAATTAAGATAAAATACATAAAAGTTTTAGAGCTTGCGGTTCACTTTTTTTTTACGGCTAACGGTTAAAATTAGTAAAATTTAAGGAATTTTTTGGCCATTTTGCGGCCATCCTACGGCTAACGGTACCGGTTAGCCCCATTGAGACCTAGTATAAATATTAACATGCTCAAAAATATGTTAGTGATTACTACTGGCAAGATAAAGGCAGGGTAGTCTTGAAGGAAATTTGAGCACTCCGATTGTTCTCTTCTTTAAGAGTGAGTAAATTGGTTTCCTTTTCTTCTCTTCGAGAAAGCTGGGAAAAAATAAGTAAAAAATTTGCAGTTAAAAATAAAGAACTTCACACAGATCAAATACGAAATTGTTTTTCTGATGAGTTTTCGCGGTAGATGAATTACTATCTCAACACTACAGACAACAAAAGTAATAACTTGTACAAAAATACATTTAATGAGGTCCTCTATTAAGTAAAATTTCAGCCTGAAAATACATCTTCTCAAAATAGAGTACTCCAAAATCACAAATTGATTAGTGAAAGCAAATTCTATTGATGAACGACCGTCAATGCCAGGCTTTCACCCATGTGTTACCTTACAATCCGCCTAAAATCAAATTATTCCCTGCTACACCTCAGGTGTAAAAGATATAAACCTTTTGCTCTCGAAAAAACTGAAAGAACATACATGAGTTATTGTTGTTAGAAAACCATCACTTGGGGTGTACTAGGTGCTTGCGTGGTCAAAAGTATAAGCTAACTGTCACAAACATCATTTTTCAATTAGGAACTGAACTATAGCTATATACAGTAACTACAATTTTTTATGACACACGCGTCACAAATTGCACGATGTAATTTGTAAAGCTTCCCATTGCATCACTATCGAAACGTTTATTGTAATTAAATAATCCCGTAGCTAGTTTATCTTTAATGTAGATAGCAACGTTTCCACTATCCTTCTTCCGGTGATGAGGTCCACTAGATACGTGTCACCTCGTGGACCGTTCTACTTAGCTGTGATTTGCTGGTATCTCATCGCTGTGATTAGCGCGCGCATTTCGAGGAAAGTACCCCCATGACACCGTGACAGCTGGGCGACGGTAGACTGTCATGAGAACACTTATTCAAAATGTGCCAGTAACAGCCGAGCATAACGTCTTCAAGGTGACGCGCATCCATGCTGGTAACCGTCTCTACCGAACTCACCGCTTAAATAAGACTTGCAGTATGCAGTCAAAATGTAGTGATCATCGTAAAAATATATGATACACGATAAGCACCAACAACTTAAGCGTGTGGAAAATTAAGTCCTAAGTAACGTAAAACAAGTTAACTCAACATCAGTTGAATTCTAATTTCACACTGGATGCATAGTTTCAAATAAATGACCTGTAAAATCATAAATAGGAACAACTCTTTCACATCATAAAACTATTAAATAAAGACTTACTCTGTACAAAAACCTAGCCAGAAGGGAAAAGTCGCGCTACAAGTTAGTACTGACCTAAAACTAAAATACTGTGAATTTAAGAAGAGTTGAAGAACTGATTTTCTAGCTACAGTCAATGAAACCCTGTCTTATGATCAACTCCTTAAAATGATTTTTTTATACTTCGAATGAGGGCCCTGCCATTTTCGCGGCGTGCCAATCTGAAGGAGTATAAAGGCGGAAAAACCGTGTCCAAGCAGTTTCCCACCCAGCTCAGGAGCTCCGTTGCAGACTATGTGGAACGACCTATCGTCAGTAATCTGCGTGTACGCGTAAGGAATAGTAGAACAAATCTTACTTTAAATTAATTAATCTCCTTCGTGAAGTGAACCGACTTCGACGATGGCGGGCTACATTAGACTACATTTCTCTCAAGGATGACAGCACATTGCAACTCAACCCAATTTAAATAGAACTGAATTTCTCGTTTTCCACTATATTGGAGCCTGGTCTATCGTCAGACAATAAATATCCTATCTAATTAAATGGAAGTTCATTTTTGTTTGCTAAAGAGCTTTGATGTAATGTAATGTAATGTTTGTGGGTAGAGAGCTTCCGTTGATAACAGTTGAGGTCATGTGACTGCGAAGGCACCATGCCAACAGCGGTGAGGGTCTTTTGTCATGCAGCTTTACCTAGAGCGCGAATACAACAACACCAGTCGAAAGAGTAAATCCCACAGGAACATCGTTACATCTTTAGTGACCATAATGTGAGTTAGATAGATCTGCTTATGGGTTATACATGATATTTCGCTGTCTCTCTCGACGCTATGTCTATGGCTACCATTTTAGCTAACAAAATCAACTTGCTTGCAGATTTTTTCGCACTCTTCGTTGGGAAAATCGCCAAAGAGGCTGCGGGCCGACCTAGACTTGCTCTGTATCCTGTTCAGTTCCGTTTACAGCTGGGTTTCTGACGATAACAGCACACTGTAGGGTTCACTATCCGACGCCTTGTCCGTACAGTCAGACCCTTCGTAGATATTGATGGGCTGCAAACACAAAGGAAATTAACCAATAAACACAGATTTAAAAATGGGTTTGATAATTTCACTAGCATCTGTAAAATAAACTATTGTGTACTTCAGAACACAAGAATTCTTCATTTTATGTATGCAAGCATTGATTGACTACCAGACTGATGGACTAATTGCTTGATTGAGTGAGTGAAGGATTGGCTGACAGATTGACCTATTTACTTACTGCCTGAGTGACTGAATAAACGAGTAATTAATTGGTTGACTGATTGATTGACTAGCCAGCTCACTGACTGATTGATCGACTAATTGATTGATTGACAGACTGGTTGGTTGATTGACTTATTAACTGGTAATTGGTTGATGAATTGACTTATTCATCGATTGATGGAGTGACACCAACCGCCTGATAATTTTACTATTTGATTGTTGAATGGCTGAGGCATTAGCTAAGTGTTGTGTAAGATATCTTGGTGAGACCTACCAAGGATCCTACTCTATCCCGTAGCTGTAAATTCCCGGGCCTGAAAAAAATAAAAAAATCAAAAATTACCCAAAACCATCACAAGATCTAAAATAATAAATACAATATTAGTAGCATTTAAAATAACAGTTGTAATGATTTTGATTATGATAATGATGATTATGATAATGTAACGCAATTGAGATCTTGTGTATTTACTGCCAACATGCAGTACTAAATAGTGATGGAAATTTTGTGACATTTCCACAAAGAAAGCAAGAAAGTTTAAGAGTTTTAAATTTTAAAAAAATCATATGTTCACTGAGCAGGTTAGGGAATTAATTTAGAAACACAATTCCTTAACAGTCTGCTTGCAGCCATTGACACTCAAGTCAGATTGTCAGAGGCATAATAAAAGGAATTACTGGTATTTACAAGTTAAAAAAGTGGGTAAGTTTCTACAAAAATTTTGGTGCTTCATGAATGGGGGATATTACAGGATAATTCAATTTTAATAACTGAGTTGCTCAATGTAACTTGGCCATTGTAGAGAGTTTCTAAAGCCAATAATTTGAGTGTTAGTCAATTTCATGATCAACTCAGTTGATAAAGGCAAATTATCTTAGTTAGTTATTTACTCAGCAGTGAACTCCCTAAGCACTTAGTAATAACCAAGCCAGGGTTGAATCCTTGAGGTAGACTTTCTAGGTCTTACGTGAGTGACAGCATGAAAAACAAATGAGAACTCCAAAGAAGGGGCTACATTGGTGTTTCACAAAAGATAACAGGTTAACTATTACTTTGACCCTTTAAACCCCAACATCTGTTTGCATATTCTCCATACTGTTCTCTATACATTTCCTTAGGTGTCCACAAGGAAAAATTTGTTCAAAAAAATCAAGAGCTTCTTTTGGCTGGTGATCATTTTCCTTATTCTCGTAACCTTAATGTGTAATTCAGGGTTGATATTGTAAGGTGAAATTAGATGCTAGTCACTCTTAGGGGTTACAGGGTTCACAACATAAAGAGTTTCAAAGCTAACAAGGTCTAACGCTCCAAACATCAGCTTTGAAACTCTTTATGGTGGCCAATTTACATTAACAACGCAGTTGATAAAACCAAAATTATCTTGCTATACTCTCCCACCAATACAGCACCACATTTTCTTTAGAAACTCACCCCCTATCACTTTAACAGAAGGACTTCTAATATATTTCTGAGCCTCTTTCACATACCAAATTAACCAATGCCATCAAGGGAAGCAATAGTTAAAGTTACATTATATTATAATATTGTGTCATTCAGTGCTCAGAGCCAACGCAAGCAATGATGACAAAGTATATAGATGGAATATTCATTGCTTGTTTCATGCATGTAATTTAACACTTTAACTTCCAAAAGTGATTAAAAGCTACCTTCACCCTACAAATCCATACATTATCTAGCAAACATAAGTATGATGGGAATAATTTTAAAATCACCGGGTAGGTTCAAAGTTTTTTTCTTTTGATCTTGATGTAGCAGCTAGTGTGGGAGAATTAACAATCAGATCTTGGAGGTTGAAGAGTTAATAGGCATTTTTTTGGGTAAGTGACCCATGGTCATGACACTACTTCCACTGTAAAATCCCATGTAGTGAAAATATTGGCACAAAAACATACCTGTTGCTTTTCCTCTTTATAATCCATACTATAAAAACTACAATAACCAAACTGCAAATTGAGACGACACCAATTATTGCCCACAAGGTGGAGTCTTCACTCTTACCGGGTGGTCCTGTGGTTGGATTTTGTAGAACGAAACACATCATACACAAGCTGACCAAAGAAAATCTTTTACAAGCTTTAAGTTGAAATTAATGCACCTAACAGTATTGACTTGCCATTGACCTTAACATAAATTCTCAAAGATCTAGGTTGGTAGAGCACTTTTAATTGTTAACTTATCCAGCATTTAAATTACTTCAAGTCTAAAATACATCAGAATATCAGAGAAACAATAGAGTCCAATAAAGTCTAAATTCAACCAAAGGCTGATTAGGGTAAATAGATTAACCATATATAATCAATGATTAAATGAATTTAGAAAAAAGCAAATGCACACACAACTTTAATTAGCCAATAACAGCATTCCCAGAAAAAGAGCCTAATTCATGAAAACACCAAAAGTCTTAAAGAAACTCCTTGGTTCCTCACAATACCAGTTAATGTCTCTCAATTGATGACACTATGATTGTCACTACAAGTTCACTATAAATTCATAAAGCCTTACTCAATTAATGTAAAAATTGAAAATGATTCTTTTCTCCACCAAGGGGCTACTAAATAAATGTGAGAAGACTCACAACACCATTTTTTTTTGCACTCATAAAACATTTACCCCTCACAATCACATAGTAATCATAGAATTGCGACTCATCTATGGAGATGCCATCAGGAGGAGATTACATGTATCTTAAATATACTCCAGGTTGACTATATAATACTGAATATGCCATTACCTGATGGATGTCCCAGCAATTCACAAGAATCACAGCTTAGTGCTGCCATTGCACTTGGGCCACAACCCCCATTTGAACAAAATTGCACCTCAAATGAGTATTTCACTTTGCTGTTCAGCTTACCCACAGAATATCTCAGTAATGACCCATTGTAATTAGGCTCAAGGGAAAAATGGACTGTTATTATAGGACTCCCAGTAAGGGACTTTGTTTGGTGCATGTGTTCTATGCTTTGGGATGAAGAATTCCTTCTGTATATCCTGATAACAGACTTCTTAGGGATTCCATTCCATATTAGCAAGTTGTTTGCCTATCAAAGGGATTAAGATAAAAGAAAGAAATAAATCATATATTCATTGCATGTGCTTGCATGGAAATCAGTCTTTTGACATGAACTGTTTCAAGAAGTAAAAGTATTCAGCTGAGCAATAACAGCTCATGAACATTTACTGTCCAAGAAGGAAATACAAATGCAAGAACATCAAGTAAAAATGATACTAATAAATTGCTGTTGCCATCATCCTTTAAAAATCTTTGGTGGCACTGTATGAACAAATTGTTTACCAATCAAAAATGGATGTTGAGTTTTACAGAGCAACTGATTGAGCAAACAAGTCATTCTCTTAATTCTCCTGTGGCAATGTCAGCAAATATCATCCTAACTTGAGTCAACTTTTAGAGGAGGACTTACATTACAATCAAGCTGGACACAAGGTCTGAAAATTGGGTAATATCACCTTTTATTTCCCCTTTTTATTACTTGGGCTGTAATATAATTATGTAGTCAGTGACATGATGCTATGAAACCAACTGCATGAGTGAAAATGTTTGGTGGGTACTACATAAATATTACATCCTACATGGACTGCAAATGGAGGTTTTTGTAGATATTTTGGGTCTTAATCTGTGCTGCCAGCTGCTAAAAAATTTTTCAATAAGAGTAAATCATTTTAAATAATAAATAATCAATACTGTCATTGAGAGTAGTTAAGATTCCTCCAGGAATATTTCTAAGTGTTTCCAGTGATCTGATTGTAGTAATGTTAATTTTTACCTTCCATTTTAGAGTGACAGTAAAGTTTGTCTCACTGCATTGTGCCTCGCAAGGCCGTATATCTGGACGTTCAGTTGGTTCTAGGAGATGAAGAATACTGCTAGTAAATCAAATATGTCCTCTAAACCTGATCATACTTTCATCATTTATATTTAACATTAACATCACCATCATCATTAATTTTTAGAAAGAACCATATCTGAGTATCACTGATTATCAATATCATAATTATTTTTGATCATTATCACTATATCCAAATCAGTGTGCATAGAAATACACAGCCATACTTCTGGCTAAGGATGCCCTGCACCATTTTTACAGCACAGCAAATACCCTATTTTAACCCTTTTAAGTCCCACTAGTGACCAAGATAGAATTTCTCCTTACACTATCAACACAATATCAAGAAGGCAAGTGATGAGAATAAAGAAAAATATCAAATGAATTAGGGGATTATTGATTGATCCAATTCCAAATTCTCCAAACTAACATCATATGAATTGTATGACAGACAGTAAGGAGAATTACTAATGAGATCTTGGGAGTGAAAGGGTTAAGAACCAAATATGCACCAAACTGTTAGGCTTAAATTTCCCAGATAAGCAGCCTTCCCATAAGAGTCATTCAAGGCTAAAATCTCAATATAGGTTCTTATTTTTGGAATATGGAGTTTTTTCAAATATAATTTACAATAAACAGTACATTACATACCACTGGTATTCAAAATGGGTAACAGAAATTAGCCAGGACACTGGCAGTGTTATATAAGACCACTGACAATAGTGTTCAGTCAATAGATCCACAGATGTGCAACATATCTAACTGTGTGTATATTAGTTAACCAATCATGCAAAGCAGGACACTTAAAGTCTGGCAGACAGCATGTACAATACCACACCCACACCTGATCAAGAACCTAAGGTAGCCTTAAATTTCATAGCAACCATTTACATGTACTAGGTTCTTATATGCAGGTTTTTACTGTGTACTCCTGTTTTCACTGTACTCCTGTTCTTATAGTATCTCAGATTAGCGCTGTTTGCATACCCTGGCTGAGTCCTCACCAAGCAGACCTTAATTATCATTATTAATAATAATAATACAGTTTAGGATATTTAATTATAGTTTTCTTTTGGCCGAGGAGTAGAAAACTTTGTCTGAAGGTGAACTTTGTAATTTGAAATTAATTTCAAAAATAGCATACAATTACTCTTATTTATAAGGTTATTTGCCTTCAATTTCAACTGATAATTAATTTGAAATAACATCACAACAGCAACTAAGGATAATTTTTACCAGTTCTATTAATAAATTTCCTAAAATAAAATGTACCTATGACACAGACAACGTATATTTTACCTTCAGGTAATGTTTGGTTGAAGACTGGCCCTTCAGGTTGATGCTGGTAATCACCGCAGGTGCAAGTTGTCTTGTTTACATTTATTGTCCTCATGGAAGGACATACAATGACTGAATAGCTGGACCATGGCATTAGATTAATAAAGCTAAATGCATTTTTTGTCTTATTGCCTTGAACATTGTCCATCACTTCCTGCTTGAAAAAAATAACAATGAAATAAATAGGCAAATAACTAACTCTTGAGTATGTAAAAGGACACATTTCACTCAAAAAGCTACATACGTTTGCCCTGTGAAAAGTTAATAGTAATCATCCTGGGGTGTAAGTGCAGGGAGATCCCAGAGGGCCATCATGGGGTGTAAGAGTTACATGTCTGTATGTAAAAGTTGATCTGGTCATATAACATGGATGTAAACAATCAAACTATTGTTAAGACATGTTTGTAAGCTTGTAAAAAACATTGGAGAAGAATGAAGTCAGGTGAAAAGTTATTGCCTGTTCATTGTACGAAATATTAAATGAAAAAAGGGAAAGGCACATGCCTGATATTGCAGATAATAGACCCATTCACTTTTACAAACTTAAAGCTTACAAGGACTTAATCTGTTCACCCTTTCACTCCAAAGATCCAATTAGTAATTCTCCTTAATAATGTATGCTGTACAATTCTTATCATGCTAGTTTGGAGGATTTGAGATTGGATCAACTAAGAATCTTCTAATTGATGTTCCTCTTGAGTCTCCTTTAACTTTTCTGCTTCATATAATATTGTGTTTATGTTGTAAGGAGAAATTCTGTCTTGGTCACTCATTGGAGTTAAAGGGTATTAGGCAGGTATCACTGGCATTCATCTTAAATTGCTGAAAGCAAGTCTGATAATGTACCTCCATGTTCCCTTGGCATTTCCCCAAGTGGTCACGAAGAATCACTTTATAGGTGAGTTTTACATTATGTATTCCCTCTGGCCTTTCCCAGAGAACTGTTAGTTTCCTCCGTGAGACTGGAAGAAGTTGTAGACTCCTAACTGGAGGGATAACTACTACAAATTGAAGGGAGAACAAAACAATTAAGTAACATGCCAGAAGATCATGTAGCGCATTGTTCAATCCGTTCAGTATCACATTGACACTAATATGATAGTATTTTACCATGAAGCCAGGTTGTGATTATTGTGATTTATAACAAATGTATAATAAACTGTTTGATCATTTGTCTCAGGATGTGGTCAGTTAAGATGTAGATCACAACATTTCAACTGCTTTCTGCTAGTCTTCATCAGGCGATGGGGTCAACTGCTCACGCGTTACCATTTGTATCACAGCAATCTAATGCAATATGAGATTTCGATTTTGTTCCAGTGAGTTCTGGTTTTCGAAGAGGTCTGCAGACTCCAAGTTATTCCCTTGGCAGTTTGCTGTTGTAGCAGTCTCCTGTTGTTTCTTGATCATTGGTATCCATGCTTCAGGAATTTTGATTCCATTATCCCTGTTGATGTTATCTGAGTGGAGTCTCCTCTCATGTACTTTTGGATCTTTCTTAAGGAGCTTGTATGGTCCAGTCCCAATCAGCACTGACATCTTAGCTAACCTAACATCTCCAAGGAAAAGAAACATTAAATTTTGTCATCAATTCTAATTTCCAATGGTTATCCCTTCTCCTTTGTACAGAAGGTTACAAAACAAGAAACTCTTCCCCATGCAGAGAGCCTGTGATGCAGTTCAAGTCCACAGCGGTTTTGCCCTACGTAAAAGGTGTATCAGAGCCCTTTGGACATAATGCCTGCAACAACAAGACTTCACCCTGATAACATCAACAGGGATAATGGAATCAAAATTCCTGAAGCATGGATACCAACAATCAAGAAACACAACAGGAGAGCAA